TCAAGACGGCGATGTTACGCCGCTGTCGGCTCCGCTGGGCCTACCTCTACCTGATCCGGACTGCCCGACTCCCTGCTCGGCAGGGCGGCGTCCGTTTCCTCCTCCCCCCTCCTCATTGTTTCAACTGGCATTGCGGCCGCTAGTCCCTCCTGATCCCGCAGGGTGCGCTGATCCACCTGGCCGCGTGCTACCTCCGACGCGGGGGCTGGCTCGCTGGGCTGGCCTTTCTCCTTCCTGCCCGCTTCTCCCCTCCCCGCTCGCTACCCCCCCTCCCATGGCGACAACGCCTGGCACTGCGCGGCTCCGGCCCGGTGCGGGGCGCCTGCTCCTTGCCGCCTCGGCGGCCCCGCTGTTCTTGGCGCTGCGCGGCTCAGGCCCGGCCCTCGACGCCGCGGATCGGCAGCGCAACGCGCTTGCCGGCGCAGGGCTGACTTTCTCCCTGCAACGCACCGGCATCCTGTCGGTCATCGGCGGCAAGTTCACGGTTCGCCTGGCTTCCGCGCCCCAGGCTGCGGGCCCCCATGTCTGTGGAATGGACTACCACGACTGGTACTCCTGGCATCACTTTGGTGGCACAACGTTGCTCTCCTACTTCGTTATGCTCCTCTTCCTCTCGGACGTCGACCTGGTCAAGTGGCGCGTCCTCTCCCGCAGCACGTGAGGCTGGTGTTTATGATGCGCCGCTGACAGCTACACCACCGGCCCTTTCTCCTCCCGGGACTTCACCGCCGGGCCCCTGTCCAACGTGTACCTTTTCCTGCACGCCCCGTTCGGCACCGCCTGATCCCCGGGTTTCGCCCGCCCCTGGCCGCGTGAGGCCCCGCCTGCGCCCGCCCATTCTCTGCCAATTAGAGCTGCGCGCGTCCCGCGTAGCTTTCAGCGGAAGAGGTTAGCTCTCGCCCTGCAGATTAAAAAAAATGTGCATGTGTGCGTGTGTGCGTGTGTGCGTGAATGCGTGTGTGCATGCGCGTGTGCGCGCGTGCGTGCGTGCGTGCGTGCGTGCGTGCGCGCGCGCGCGCGTGCGCGCATGCGCGCGTGCGCGCGTGCGCGCGTGCGCGCGTGCGCGCGCGCGCGTGCGCGTGCGCGCGCGCGTGCGCGTGCGCGTGCGCGTGCGCGTGCGCGTGCGCGTGCGCGTGTGCGTGCGCGTGCGCGTGCGCGTGCACGTGCGCGTGTCGTTGTGCGCGTGTCGTTGTGCGCGTGTCGTTGTGCGCGTGTCGTTGTGCGAGTGTCGTTGTGCGCGTGTCGTTGCGCGCGTGTCGTTGTGCGCGTGTCGTTGTGCGCGTGTCGTTGTGCGCGTGTCGTTGTGCGTGTGTGTCGTTGTGTGTGTCGTTGTGTGTGTGTCGTTGTGTGTGTGTCGTTGTGTGTGTGTCGTTGTGTGTGTGTGTCGTTGTGTGTGTCGTTGTGTGCGTGTCATTGTGTGTGTGTCGTTGTGTGTGTGTCGTTGTGTGTGCGTCGTTGTGTGTGTATCGTTGTGCGTGTGTGTCGTTGTGTGTGTGTCGTTGTGTGCGTCGTTGCGTGTGTGTCGTTGTGTGTGTCGTTGTGTGTGTGTCGTTGTGCGTGTGTGTCGTTGTGTGTGTGTCGCTGTGTGTGTGTGTCGTTGTGTGTCTCTGTGTGCGTCGTTGTGTGCGTGTGTCGTTGTGTGTGTGCCGTTGTGTATGTGTGTCGGTGCGTGTGTGCGTCGGTGTATGTGTGTGTTGGTGTGCGCGTGTCGGCGTGTGCGCGTCGGTGTGTGTGCGTCGGTGTGTGTGCGTGCGTCGGTGTGTGTGTGTCGGCGTGTGTGCGCGTCGGTGTGTTTGTGCGTGTGTGTCGGTGTGGGTTGTGAGTCCGTGTGTGTGCGTGTGTCAATGCGTGTTTGTGTCGGTGCGTGTGTCGGCGTGCGTGCGTGCGTCGGTGTGTGCGTGTGTCGGTGCGCGTGTCGGCGTGTGTGTCGGTGTGTGCGTGTCGGTGCGTGTGCGTGTCGGTGTGTGCGTGTGTCGGTGTGTGTGTGTGTGTCGGTGCGTGTGTCGGTGTGTGTGTGTGTGTGTGTCGGTGTGTGCGTGTCGGTGTGTGTGTGCGTCGGTGTGCGTGTGTGTCGGTGTGTGTGTCGGTGTGTGTGCGTCGGTGTGTGTGCGTCGGTGTGTGTGTGCGTGTCGGTGTGTGTGCGTCGGCGTGTGTGTGTCCGTGTGGGGTGGGGTGTGCGTGTCGGTATGTGTGCGTCGTTGTGTTGTGCGTGTCGTTGTGTGTGTGCGTCGGTGTGTGTGCGTCGGTGTGTGTGTGTGTCGGTGTGTGTGTGTGTCGGTGTGTGTCGGTGCGTGTGCGTGTCGGTGGTGTGTCGGTGTGGATTTGCGTCGGTGTTGTGTCGGCGCGCGTGTGTGTGTCGGGTGTGCGTTGTATGGTGGGCGTGTGTCGTTGTGTAAGCGTGTTTCGTGCGCGTGTGTGTGTGTCGTTGTTGCGTGCGTCGGTGCACATGCGTGTCGGCGTGTGCGTTGTCGGCGCTTTTGTTGTCGGTGTTCTCGGTCTTCGTGCGCGTCCTGGTGTTCGTGCGTCGTGTGTTCCGGTTTGTGGCGTCCGGCGTGCGTGCGTTCGTCGGTGCGTGTGTCTGTGTATGTGGTCGGTGTGCGTTGTGTCCGGTGTGGCGTGTGTCGGTGGTTGTGTGTGTGAGTTTGTGTCGGCGTGTGCCGTGCGCGTCGTGCGTGCGCGCGTGCTTCGGTGCGTGCGTCGGTGTGTGTTGTCGGTGTGTGTGTGGTCGGTGTGTGTCGCGTCGGTGCGTGTGCGCGTCGGTGTGTGTGTCGGTGTGTGTGCGTCGGTGTGTGTGTCGGTGCGCGTGTGTGTGTCGGTGTGCGTGTGTGTCGGTGCGTGTGTCGGTGTGTAAGCGTGTGTCGGTGCGCGTGTGTGTGTGTCGGTGTGCGTGCGTCGGTGCACATGCGTGTCGGCGTGTGCGTGTGTCGGCGCGTGTGTGTGTCGGTGTGCGCGTGTCGGTGTGCGCGTCGGTGTGCGTGCGTCGGTGTGTGTCGGTGTGTGCGTCGGCGCGCGTGTGTGCGTCGGTGCGTGTGTCGGTGTATGTGTCGGTGTGCGTGTGTCGGTGTGCGTGTGTCGGTGTGTGTGTGTGCGTTTGTGTCGGCGTGTGCGTGTGGTGTGTTGCGTGTGCGTCGGTGCGGTGCGCGCGTGCTCGTGCGTGCGTCGGTGTATGCGCGGCGTGCGCGTGTCGGTGTGGTGTGTCGGTGTGTGTGTCTGTGTGTGTGTGGTCGGTGTGGTGTGTGTGTCGGCGTGTGTGTGTGTCATGTGTGTCTGTGTGTGTGTTGTGTGTGTCGGTGTGTGTGTGTTTCGTGTGTGCGTGTGTCGGTGCGCGCGTGTGTCGGTGTGCGTGTGTGTCGGTGCGTGCGTGCGTGTGTCGGCGTGCGTGCGTGTCGGTGCGTGCGTGCGTCGGTGCGTGCGTGTGTGCGTCGGTGTGCGTGCGTCGGTGTGTGTGTGTGTGTCAGTGTGTGTGTGCGTCGGTGTGCATGCGTGTGTCAGTGTGTGTGCGTGTGTCGGTGCGCGTGCGTCGGTGCGTGCGTGCGTCGGTGTGTGCGCGCGTCGGTGTGTGTGCGTCGGCGAATGCGTGTGTCGGTGCGTGTGTGTGTCGTTGTGTGTGTGTCGGTGTGCGTGTCGGTGTGTGCGTGTCGGTGCGTGCGCGTCGGTGCGCGTGTGCGCCGGTGTGTGTGTGTGTGCGTGTCGGTGTGTGTATGTCGGAATGTGTGCGTCGGCGCGCGTGTGTTTCGG